AAGGAGAGAGACACTCCACAAGTCGCTGAAATCTCAAGTTGGGGGTGGAGGGGGTGTGGGTGTTAACCCACCTTTCCAAATGGATAGATGGAAAAAGAGCACACACTGTTTTGTTTTTCTGGGAAGGAGTGAATCAATTTTTTTCTGAGAGGGGTGTGGGGGGCTGCACTGCGTTTCAGTTTCCTTCAGTCAGCTGGGGTTTTCCACTTGAATTTCAGAAGCTAGATCCCTGGCTCCAACACGCAGAGGGCAGAACCCAGGCTGCGTTCATATTTGGATCATTCCAAGGGAAAGGAACGCAGGATCCCCTACCCAGATTGTCCCAATGGTATAGAATCGAGACAGTTCTACTCCAGGACAGCCGGAGAGGTTTAACCCATTCCTCAATGCATAGATTTGATACTGCGCCTGGACAATATGGAGACATGAGGACCAAGGTTCATAGTCCCTGTTCTGGCAGAGGTGATGAGAGAATGAAGTGTAAAGATAGTAACCCTAACTGAATCCCTAGGAAAGAGATTCTGTCTATAGCCATGAGCAGAGACTTGTGTTGTACAGAAACCTCCTCCCTGTGTGGGCTGAGAACTGTGTGGCATGGGGAAAGGGGGTGTGTGTGTTTGTGTGGTGCGGAGGGGGGAAGATTCAGCCTTGTTGTGACTCAGGGTAGGGATGGTAGCCCGAGAGAGAGAAGCAGTTTTCTTCGTCCTGGTCTCCATCTAAAAATGAGATTAGCCACGTTGCTCGGGGTTGTGAACAATTTTGCACCTTGTAGTTAGCTCGACCTATCCCCCACTGTAGCAGTGAATTTGCTACATCGATGGAAAAAAACTTTCTGTGGCTGTAGGAAGTGGCTACATTACAGCAGTGTTGTAGCTGTGCTGCTGTAGCCCTTGTAGGGTAGATGTGGCCTAAGGAACCTGAGGTCCCAGCCCACCCTTATCAGATGTTTGGCTTCTGCTCCCTGCTCTGCAGCGCACGGCAAACTACGCAAGATGGCTCTAGAGGCATTGTTTTCATCTCCTCTGTCAATCACAGACACTCCATATCCCAACCAGCCTGGGATCGTAGTGTCCTAGCCACGCAACTGCACTAAAGCTGCTTTCCCAGCCCTGACACGTGAGTGTACGGTTCATGCAGTGTGTTGTCCATACTGTCCTTCCCACTGGAGCAGTTGTGTCAGGAGAGAGATCTAAGTGCAACGGGAAGGCTTGGAACAGAGGTGGGGAGAGGGGAATCTGGAGGAGCAGATAAGGCAGGTATCAGATGGCAAATTCTCATTCCTTAGAGAGAGAAAGCAGAGGATCTGAATTACAGACAGTGCGGAACAAAGAGAGAGGCTCAGGAGTTGCACTGTATTCGCTTTGGAAACACCGATCCCATGATCTCCTCACGTCTGCTCTGCCAGTTCCACTCTGTGTGCAGCACAGAGGATCCAGCCATTTAGTCTGCTGGACAGGGAGGTTCTGGTGTGGGACCAGGGGCCAGTGCCGTAACAAGGGCAAGGCGAGTGAGGCACTTGCCTCGGGCGCGCAAAGCTGAGGGGCGCAGAAAAAGATGATGTCAGTGCGTTTGTCTGCAGACAGGGATCCCCGCACCACTCACAGGCAGGGCTCCTCTGGGGCCTGCCCGCCTCCGGCCTCCCGGCCCGTCAGCACCACTATGGCGGGGCCGGCTGAGGGAGGCAGCCGGGCGGCTCTGCTCTGGATAAAGGGGCCGTCGTGCCAGCCTCAGGTCCCCCCGCCCCACCCTGCCTTGCCCGACTGGAAGCAGCATCATACACGGAGCGGGCCCGGGGGTTAACCCCTTCAGGCCCAGGCGGGGAGAGGGGTGCTGCTTGGGAGGTGGGTGCAGCAGGGCGTGGGGCAATAGGGACAGGGGCAGGATGGGATGGGGGCAGCAGGGGACGGGGTGTAGCAGGCCATGGGGCAGCAGGGCATGGGGCAATAGAGAAAGGGGCAGGATGGCACGGGATGTAGCAGGGGATGGGGTGTAGCAGGCCATGGGGCAGCAGGGGATTGGGCAATAGAGACAGAGAGGCAGGATGGTACGGGGCGCAGCAAGGGCCAGGATGTAGCAGGTCATGGGATAGGATGGCATGGGGCAATAGAGACAGAGGGGCAGGATGGGATGGGGGTGCAGCAGGGGATGGGGCAATAGAAACAGAGTGCCTTTGTTTCTCATTCCTTATTTCTTATGGAGATCACAGATTGGGAATCTGCAATCTCTATAATATATTCATTTTGTGTAATGTTTAGACGAATTTAATACATTTATTTAGGTATTTTTAATTTTTATTCCAGTCTATTGAACAAGTCCCTATGAAATTATATGGAGGGGGGAGGGCGCAATTTTATGTTCTTGCCTCAGGCGCAAAAATAGCTAGTTACGGCTCTGCCAGGGGCAACCGAGGGACGGAGTGAAAGGAAAGGGTGTGGGGTGAGCCTGAGCCACTGGGAGCACAGATGCCATAGAGGGCTTCCTTAGCACTCAACATGTGCTCCGTAGCAGTGGTGGCAGAAGGACAGGAAGATACTGGGGTTGCTGAAGACAGCAGGCTGGGGGATATGGCACCCACTGTAAACTCTGCACCTAAATGGGGAAAAGATGAAGGAGAAATTTCTGTGGCATCTAAGTGGGGATCTGTGCCCCCGAACACCCATTTGCACGCACAGAAATACATGGTCTGTGCTTGCTGTTTACACGGCTGCTTTTCAAATCTGGGGGCTACGGTTTGTTTGCAGAAGGAGACACAGGCAGAGAGGGATGGATCGAAGAGCGACACTGGTGCTGCTGAAGAGCACAAGCACGGATTTTCTGTTACAATAACCCAGGAATTATCCAGCCAACTGATCCGAGCTAGTTTCCACCCAGGACACACCCCATCCATATGCATGAGTATAAAACCTTCCCTGCAGAAAAAGGCTGCTGCGGCTGAGTCCCCGGGGTTGGATTAGCCAGTGGTATGATGGCTCCAGCCCAGCACAGATACTCTGTTGTTTACATTCTCACTCCAAAACCTATGAGGAGAATTGGTCCTTAGCATCGGGTCTCTGTTTTTAAAGGTACTTTGAGGACATCCGAGTCTGAGCACTTGCCACACTCTCCTTTGTCCCATCACTGCTTTAAAGGCACGTCGGGTGCATGTTTAATATAAACTCGATTCTGCCATTTCAGCTCTCCAGCCCGGCTGAATAAAGGAAACCCCTGTTTTGTGTCTATTAGGGTTATCAAACCAGCTGACTGGGAGCCCTGTTTGGTCAACCCAACGGATGACTCTGATTAGCTGCCATAACTGATAGACAAAAGGGATGGCCAATGAGAGAGCTTGCTGTTCTTATTTTAGGTCTCCCTCTCTGTTTTAAAGGGACAAGCACATGCTCTGTCCTAGCCTGTTCGTCACAAATGCTAAATAGTTGTAGGTTGGGGAGGGGGGTGGTCATCAGGCGCACAAGAAGGAGTAGGAAGTTGGGATCTCAACCAAGCAGCAACGAATGGAGGGAGAGGCAGTAAAGAGAAACTTTATGACTGAAACAAACAGAAAATGATCCCTGGCACCACTTATTGTAACAAGCTGGTTGTGCACATCCCTGCCCCCTACTGGACAGAATCAGAACTGCTCGTCTGTGTATCATAGACCCTATTCTGCATGGAGCAAATGCTTCATCTCAGGTAACTGGGGACTGTGTTTCGGGCCATCTTTCCCCACTGTTGCACTGAAGGTCTAAATGGCCATGGAATGCATCTCAATGGCAACTTGAACTACTTTATTCAATTAATTTAACTCCTTTCCCATAGGCAGTTCGCAAGTTTCTTGAATATACTTGTTATTCAGGCAATGCACTGTTGAATTTTTTTGATAGGGATTGATGATAAATATTCAGAAAGCGAGGTGTTTTGCCTACTTGTGATTGGTCGGAAAGGTCACCT